CCCCGGCCCCATATGTGTCTGCATGGATGATACAACACACTCACTATTTCCTTTTAGTACGAGTATCTCTATATTTCCATCACTGTACGATCCTATCTCTCTCTCTCTCTCTCTCTCTCTGCCTGTATATAACTATATACACACACACATTGATAGAGCGACTAGGAAGTGCAAATCACGAACCTATCACACTACTCGCGGCAAACTCAACTATTCCCACTTCGTCAGGGACGTTTAAGAAGTTATTTTCAACATTCCGCCCCGCTTCTTGTCCCCCCGTACCTCTTAATCCTGATCACTGAACGTCTCGCGGATCACCAAGCATATGGCAGGATAATACATCTAAGGATAGTTACCTCAAAAAAAAAAGCGAATGATCCTGTACCATCGAATTATACTATCTTCAAATATTGTCATTTACACGCGATGTCATCGAATTCGTCGGACGTCTTATTTAATTTGACGCTCCATGACGATCGTTCAATATGGCGTCCGTCGTCTATTTGGCTACCGTCCCTCGGAGACACGCGGGGTTCAGTAAAAATTATTAACGGCAGCAGCAGGGCCGACCTCGTCGAGAATTTTCTACGAACGTCATTACGTTTCTCGGCGCGTCAAGGCCCGTCGGCCCTGAGTGTCATCGAGAAAACCGTAATCGTGCGGGAATAATGGAGAGCGGTTCCTCCTGCTCGTCCCTTCCCGCGCGATCCCTCACGTCCCGCTCGTCCCCCCTTACGCGACAACGACATAACCAATGATCATTGGCTGGTACGTATCCACGCTAGAAGTTTGTATACGTACGTCGTGTACGGAATAGATTTGCTCGCTGCTCGGTCGGTAACGTCGCGCTCTGCGCTCCTTGAAAATTCGGACGCGGCATCTCGCGGACGAAAGCGTCAAGCTCTGAATTCCGCCGCAGCAATTTGACGTCTCGTGAGATTTCCGCAATCGGAATAGGAAGGTGTCGAGTAACGACTAAGGTTATGGTTCTAAAAGTGCATTCACCCTGTGTACACTGTGTGTAGTGAGTGTGTATCACGGATTAGACAGACGCTCTGCTCTGTGGGAGAGTGACGAGGAGAGCGTGAGAGAGAGACGAAACCTAGGACTTTCTCCAGAGAGGGAAAGTGAGCACGAGTGAGAGGGTACCTCCACGGATTCACGTCCGTGCCCCTTGCTCTCGCGATTGATTATACTTCTTTCTGACGAGATATCCTTTTTTTTCTTCTTTTTCTCTCTCTCTCTCCTCGATCTGCCACGGCTTCCCTTACCTACCTCAGTCTCACCACCCCTCGCACCACTGCTCGACTGGCATTTGCTTTCACCGTGACTCCCGATGCACTTTGACTACGGCGACTCTGCGGGGTACAGGGGAAAAAGAAGGTACGAAATTTTTCGACGAATAAAAGAACGTGTAAATTAATTTTTGACGTGGTTTTTATTTTTTCAATTTATTCACCCACGCCAGGACGGTTCTCTATATATAGAACGGACTGCTGTATTGTCCGTTGTTGTTTATCGTCGAATGAAATTCGATCGAGTCCCCTTCAAATTTAATTTGCAAAAATTTTGACACTGAGTAATCTTACAATGGTCTTGCTTGTATTATGCTGTTATTGTGATTAATTTATGTATACGTTCTTATCAATAGGCTATTTGGTGTGTATAATCATATGGCGATTGGTAAGCGCCTTAGGTCGATTTTCATGATACACAACGATTGATCGATTATAATCCTATATTCCGTTTCACTTTCACGTTGATCAGGTTGCAATGGGCTTTATGTGCATATAGTAAATGTACCCTAGTATTATTCGTGACTGGCTATGTATATATTTGTATAATGGCGCTAGTCAATTTTCATTATAATGGCAATCTGCTCGCCTCGCAGTAGCAACTGCGTCACGTGCCTCTCCAGGGTCTCGATTTTTCCGTTACTTTCCTTCACGACTGTCCTGGGCATGTCGTCCGGCAGCTTGATGCTATCTGGTGGACCTGTCGGTGTACGAGAGAACATTAAAGGAGTTAATAAAGAATTTAATAAGTGCGCAAGATACGCGTGGTACATTAGTTGCCGGACTTTCCATTAAGTACAGCCGATAAATGTGTATGGCAACGGATCGCGCATGCGCATTGAAATTATATCAATGTCGAGAATTAAGACAGTAAGTTTATAACGGTGAAATTTTGTATGCTTATTAATACCACGGGGTAAATCGTACGTACAGGTGGCAGATTATTACGTACGACTTGTGAAAACGAGTGGGAAAGATGGCGGCGAAAGGTGACAGGGTGCTTCTGGGTAATGCATCGAATTCGTAACGTCAAAATAATCGTGTTAGTTTATTGTACGCTGGAAATTCTGTTAAACTTTATAAGTCGGTCGAGTGGATATGTATTTCGTAATGAGAGCGAATTGACAGAGAAATAAAAAGCAACAAGCGACATTACGGTAAACAAAGTGTCGACGGTTACTGCGCATGCGCTGGACGAAGTTAAAATTCCGGAAGATACATCGGAGCTCTCTTGAGTTACGTAATATATATGTATATATGGATTTAGCAATGTATTTTGAAAATTTGCATCGGACTAGAGTTACGAAGTGCAGAAAATAAACAATAACAGCTCCAAGAAGACGCGCACGCCCGTTACACGGGAAACCCGATAGTATCGCTACGTCGGCCATTGGACGTAACTCGTTGGCGATTGACCGTTACGTAATTTGAATTTTGATACATTGATTTTTACGTTAAAACAAAAGACTGGCCCAAGACGATTTGACGAGTGGTAACACTTGGACGGAGACGCGTACATTCTCCCAGGGTTACGAGAATTTCGATAGAGTTGCGCGTCGGGGTGAAATGTTGTTTATGTGCAGGCACGTGTCCGTAGACCTTGTGGTGGGGGGGTTGGAGGGGAGATGGAAGGGAGTACGCAGGGCGGGGAAAGAGTCGATCGTGAAAAGGGGCGTAGAGGGAAGAGATTTTGGTAGACTGTAAAAAAATATTTTGTAACGTCGATTATCAGTTGCGATCGTGGGAAATGTATTTTTCGATAAATCCACGTAAATTTGAATCGATTACGTGATCGTTGACATAACTGAATCTCGTATAGCTGTTTCGAGTGTGTATCTTATTGAAAATGATTATAGGATTCGAACAAGGGAAACTAAATCGAATTACGTAGAAGGGTGTAAATGCTTTCAAGCCGATCGAATTTGCGATTAATATACAAAACGACGAGTTTTCGAAAGTATGTCTGCCGTTATAGAAAGTATCGCACGAAGTAACATTATTGATTGACCGAAGTTCGTTTGGTATTTTCTATTACTTATCAGACCAATGGGATTCACAGTATTTTTCGCGCGTAGTTTCCACGTATCTCGTGCGATTGAGAATATCCTACAAAATTACTGAAAATTACGCTCGTGAGTAACGTCACGTCGGATCGTCCGTCGGCAACCGTCGTGTGCGGGATAAATGAAATAAATTTCGTTTGACGCTACAAAATCATTTTCTCAGCGTGGCGGGAGTAACAGCGTAAGGGGGACTGGGACACGTGTACCACCAACCATCGATCCTCAGCCGCTCTTCAAGGCCGTCGCTCCTGCCACCCTCAACCCCGTACCAACCCGCCCTCCCCCCCAGGTCCCCAAAGTACGTCAGTAGGCCAACTAACCCTGAACCCTATTGCGGACACACAACGCCCAAAGGATCTCAGTACCAAAATATAAGTAAACCCACTCCCCTCCGCCTGCCCCCTACTTCCCTACATAAGAAAAGCTTAAGGCCCCGTAAAAGCGATCGACAAGAAACACAAGATCATATTATTACAATAATATTCTCAGACGTCACGCCGTATCTGGATACAATTTTCTGATGGGGGGGATGAGATTTAAAAAAAATAATTTTTTTTTTTTTTTTTTTTTCATTACCTGCCAATCCCTGGTTCGTTCTCTGCGTTCGTAAAATCTCGGGAAGCACCGATGATTTACGTGGGTGAGTAGGAAATGAGAAACATGGCCTACAAAAAGTGTGACAAATAGGCTCGTGGTGGGTAAGGTAGGTAAGGTAGATTGGTCGGTAGGTGGTGGCGATGTTATTGGTGGTTTTGGTAGTGTTCCTCGTTCCCTTCCTCGTGACGTAGCTAACGGAGGTACCGAGCGAGGGCCGCAGTAGCGTCGCGATAGAGGTAAGGGACGGAGAGACGTGAACGGAGTGGGTGCGTAGGTAGGGACTGTGGATGTAGTAGAGGGTGTAAAAGGGAGGGGTGGCCTGAAAGACAGAGTAGAGAAAGGGAGAGATGTACAGGGCACGTGGACCTCGTATCGAACGTGGCACCACTACGTAGTCAAGGTCGGTCCTTGCCCTGACTCCTAACGCCACCCTTAAGGTTTTTCTTTTCATTTCGCGCCCTTACCTCAGTCTGTTACCGTAGGAGAAATGGGTGTGGGAGAGAAGGGGGGGGGGTGTAGGAGCACGAGCGCCACTGCCCACCTCCTCGTTTCCTAACCCCAACCTCCCTTACATCATCTACGAGACACATTCTTCCCCCAGCTACCCCGCGGTAATTCGAAACGTGCGTCGCGACACTTTCGACTATGACATAGGATTTCGGTGTATGAAATTAACACCATATTTGTTCTCTATCTCTCATTCTCTGGGGGAACGGACGTTTATCTGTTGACTAAAAATAAAATACAAGGATGACGATAATAAGAAAATTTATCATTTAACACCCTGAGCACCGCCCGAGCCACCCTGTATATCATGCATTAACCATTGTCAGGTTATTTTTCTTAAAAAAAAAATTCACAATTTAAATGAAACTTTTTGTTTTTGCTACCCCACTAGAGACCCCGGGCGTCCGTCGCGCATGTCGATACGCAATTGGCGCGAATCGCGTGCCCGCCGTGCTTCGAGCTTGAACGGCAAAGTATAACGATAAGAAGCCACCTCGTGTTCCTCTGGTTGGAGGCTGGTCCGATTAATATGAAGAGATAAGAAAGGGACGGGCTGCACCGGTGCGTTCGTAAATTGATGCAGCCCCGAACCGATGACAGATTGGCCCGAGGCGGCGATCGCAGGCCAACAGGTTCAGACAAGTTGAGAAACACGTCGCACCCGTTGCCGCGTACCCGTGGGTATTCCTGACCTCGTGGACGACGTGGAGAAAGGTGAAAGGTAGCCGGAGTATAGGAACAGGATCGTCCGACTTGGATCTGGATTATCTGGGAAGGATTAAATTAATAAGAAAATAATTAAATCAGCCGGACCCAATAATTATGTACTACGTGTTATGTATTAATTGACGTATCCAAGGCAACGAGCAATGCGTCGCTATTGTTGAGAACCACTGTGACAAACAATACTTAACCCAATGCAGGCGCCTTTCTTTTGACCTTACGAGTCCAGACTTCAAAGCAATCCTCCAATGCGAGATTCCAGTGCTTGTCGAAGGCGACCACGTATGCCTCCACGTGTCCTCTGATACCCCTCTCGTTCCTGGTGTAGATCTTGACCAAGAGAAGTAGCCGGGCAAGCATGCAAAGTAAGAAAAAAAAAAAAAAAATATTAAATAAAACTCCGGCTTGTGCAAGAAGCAATTTTACACTCTCTACTTACTACGGAGATAAATCTGCATAAGGCCCAATATTCAATCGTACCGTATTTTATATTTTTTATGGGTCTTCTTTTGTCATACAATCTCTCTTCGACTCTCTTTAATACTCGTATCATATACCGGCTACCACCTGGCTCGTATACGCATCAGAGACGCAAACGCTCAAAGACCCAGAATGCAGTTCTCGTCTGTTTATTACGTGCGAGGAGACAAGATAGGCGGCGCTGGGTTATGCGGAAGTGCGAGGCTTCTTTCAATGACTCCCGCGCTGTGGCGCTGCTATCGCTTTATAAGGAACGAACGCGCCGAAACAATAGAATGCAATTCGCGTAATACCTCGTGCCTTCGGCTTCGACCTATGACCTTTACAGTTGGGTGCAAGTAATTTCGCGATTGTGGCACCCTCTTTATTACGGTATCAAGCCTGACTTTAGATATTGCCATACACGGTATTAAGATCAGAGACAACCTTTTTTTTAGTTAAAAAATCGTTTTGACAAATTGATCAAAAAGGAAACCTAACCTGTAACGCGCCTGGTTTCTTATACGTGCTTAACGATACTCGGAGTAGCAAGGACCTTGAATACCGTTACATCAAGGAAAATGCATGATAATGGATGCTTCTCTTATAAGAATAATAAAAAATCTGCATAAACGATAACAAACATTGAAAAATGCATTGAACCTGCACTAGAAACATGATCGTACCCTAAGACCCAAGAACCCCGAACTTTGGGGGGGTAACATGACACAAAAATGACATCCAAATATAGATGTCCAGTATTTTGGTTGAAAAAAAAAACGTGACGGATTCAAAAATATCCTTTTCATCCCAACCGATATACATCTCAGCCTCATGTCATTCCCGTCGCAATCAACAACAACCCCCCACATCCCTAGGAGCCAATCACGTGCCAAAGTATAAGGGGGGTGCCAAAGGAGCATGACCTATCGAGGACATTGGGTAGGAATCCCGGGATATGACCTTGTCTTTGCAAAGTTGGCGTAGATGGCCTAGTACCAGGGCCGTACGTACGTATAGCGAGCGGGGGTGCAAAGACCAGCAGCATAGAGTCCTAAGGGGTGGTTAGCATAGCTAGGGTGTTCCAGGTGGGAGGAGGGGTTGGCTGCAAGGGGTTTGGTCTCCATGACTACGAGTGTTGACCCTAACCAAGTCGTTCTACCTCTCGAAAGAGCCCTCGTATTCGCATTCGCGAAACTGTGTCACGGTACAGCGGCACGACATAGCACGCCTTCGCCCCCCACCTAATTCAAGAATGAAAGAGAGAGAGAGAGAGAGAGACCCTTACAACCCACATAACCTCCAATCACCTTTGCCACCTCGCCACATGTCTCTTTCACCTCCTTGGTTACAAGCTCAGAGCCCAGAAATGGCACACGTGGGTGTCGGGTCCCGTGAGGTTAGGGACCTAGCCTAACCTGTCTTATAGTTGGCAACGAGTAGATCAAGTGATTTTCTCTCTTTACTTTTCGTCTCCTTCCTTTCTCGATCCCTCAAGTATCGTTTTTCTCTCTCGCTCGAGTCACAGCCACATTAGACCGGTAGACTTCAGCCAGGACTCTGTCCTTTGATTGTCTCATTGGATCATCCCTTCCATGCAAGACCTTCTCCTTTCTTCCTCTTCTCTCGTCCGTTTACCTTGACTCGCGTTCTTGACTGCATATACCGGTACAGAGCGCCCAGTGGTCCGAAGGTGCGTTCCATCTTCGTCAGGACATTGCGACTCCTGGTTAGGTCGTTCCCTCGGCCCGGTTTCGTTCTCTTCACCGGTTCTGAAATAAGTACGAGAATCACCTTGATATTACGGTAAACAAACCTTCTATCGCCACGTGAATTTCATCGGACGGTTATCGGATAGGGATGACGAGTCTAAAAATGTCACTTCAAGTCAATGACGACTGATAAGACCATAATGGACTGATTCCTGACCAGTCGATATCTCCGCGAATACCCATCGGCACTTATTAATCCAAAAGCGAAAAGAATTCTTAAAAAAAAAATCTCCATAAAAGATTACCCATAACCTCCAAGCCAATGTGCAAGCCTGACCAGTAAAAGTTGTTGTACCTGTAGATGGTAAAGCAGATTGATAAAAAAAGATGCAGTCATTTCTTTCACTGAATAAACTGTGCACTCTCTGCGCCTTTCGGAAAGGTGGAAGCATAGAAAGTAAAACATACATTGCGATTGGACCTGCATGGCAGACGACGGGTAGGAGGAGCGCTGCAGAGTTATGTAAAGTAAACTCGTAGCGGTTTGTACTCGCGAGAGGAGAGTGCACGCGAGGAGAGAGTATGGGAGGGAGGGGGGAGAGAGAGAGGAAGAGATACAAGACAGCGGAGTCCTGCACTATGCGTAGTCGAGTTTTAATAGGTATACACTATGTATGTATGTAGGATAGCGATAGGTATGAGTCGGCGCATGCGCTGTGCTGCGTCTCGTGAGCGAGTGCAACAAGAGAGACGAAGATGGACGTATTACGGTATACGACTCGGGCAGAATGGTCTTCGGCGTAGCGACTTACGGCCGCGAATTGGCTTTCTCCGATAACTTTCATCCATCGGTAGTTGCCTTCTGGATCCCCTTCGTTTGCCCCACGTTTCGTCCACACGGGTTGTGTGCACGCTCGCTGTGGAGAACGACGCAGGGGAACCCCCTAATCCCCACGTACACTCTCGGCCAAGATTTCCCCTCTCTCCCCTTGGCCATCGGAGCTGCCTTCTTTTTCACCTTTCTTTGTTGTCTCTTTTCTGCGTTGTATACGCGGCCGCACTTTCACTATCGCCAGGGCACCGACGCCTGGGGACGCCCGGAGACGCCTCGCGTCGTCGACTTCGTTCGCTTGCACGGAGAAAGGGGCTGTGCTGTTGGGAAAAAGATTTGAGAGAGATGGATACGTAGAGAGAGACCCTGTGGTAGGATATAGATACGTGTGTGTGTGAGAGAGAGAGAGAGAGTGCGCGTAGAAAATAAATATGGCCGCCGCTTTATACTTTACGCAATAGTCATTCTCGGATTCCATTGGACTGATGATTTTCATGAACTTTCTGTCGTTGTCAGATGCAGATACATGCGCATGTACTTTAAAGATACTTTCTGTTGACTTTCTGACTTATGGATTTTTGGTTTATTCAGAAACAATTGTTTCTTTTGTCCTATTAAAAACTTTCTTCCTACAGTTGGTTTAAGCTCTCTTTGCTGTTATTGTACATCTCGGCGCGCGATTTAACCCACCTTCTAGAAGGTTCGCGCGTGTGCTTCGGAAGACAACCGTTATGCCGTGAGTCGAGGTACAGGGGGAGACGTGGTGTTGAAAGTGGTCGGGGAGTTAGAGAGAGAGAGAAAGAGAGAGAGAGAGAGAGAGAGAGTAAGAGAGTATGGAACGACAAGAGAGATGCGGGCAGTGGGATCGATTGTCAACGATTAAGGAATATCGCTTAACTTCACCTATACGGCAATTATTAATTAGTAATATTAATTGCCGTATTTTATAACTGTAGATGTATGAGTAAAATTTGCGTCTCGATCAACGCGAAGAGAGAAGACTCGTAAGAGACTCCTACGATCGATCCAGATCTGTGAGGGAAACGACAAAAAATTCGCGTAACACGGGACAATTCTGTGGTAAAAGTTACGAAAAAGTTTAAAGAAGAAAGTTAAGTAGGACAGACGTAAAAAGTCAGCTGTCCAAGTTTAGAGTTAGGAGTGTTCAACCCTTTTGGAAAAAAAAATTAATGTGAAAAAATTGGAGCAGTTTTTAAAAAGTCATTTAACGTTTAAAAAAAGCCAACGAGAGTCACGCAGTCAAGTAACGTCCATTCGCAGGGAATAATTCGCGTTGCTCTTTCCTCCCTTCACCACCCTGGATCATCAACCCCTTGACACACAGAAGGGATAAGCCAGGAAGATAATCTTCACGAGTCCAACTGATCCGTACGGGCAAACCAGGTAGCGTAGAGGCCGCATACGAAAATACGGTAAAGGAGGGCCCTGTACCCGCGGATGATCCCCAGGTTGAGTCGCGCTGGGTTCAACGTCCTGGCGGGCAGCGCACCCGAGCCGAGCAGGCAGGCGAAGCAAGCAGCCACCAGACCTCTCCACATATACCTTGCTTACTCTCGCATTTGCTTTACGCGAACTAGCCGTAGGTACTGTTACTTCTCGAGGTGGCCCTTTACCTCCTCGTCTTCCTCCTACCTCATCTTGGAGTACCCACTGGTGGGTGCCAGTAACAGCAGAAGCATTGCTCTATGCTGGTTGGCATGGTCCCACCTGGTAGCAGGATGATCCGGAGGATGATCCAGGTTCCCAGGATACCTGACTCCTCTGACGCTGACCCGGGTACTTGCGAGGAAGCTGGAGAAAGATGAGGCTTAATGAGGAGCCAGTAAAAAAGAACCAGCAAGGTCTCTCCTCTTAGGCACACCGAGTCATGACCTGGAGAAGCGTTAGAGAGTCAGACGATGGAAGTGGTGGCACGGGGGGATAGAGGGTGAAACGCTACCGATTCGGCGTGCCCGATAGTCATCTGTTACGTTGGGATAGGTCGGCGCGTACACAGAGCCAGGAATTGGATCGTCCCGTATACCGGGTGTCGCGGAAGCACTGCTCTCCGGTTACGTTACGGTGGCTGTCCCTTCTATCAGCTCTGCCATTAACCGTAGGAGTGTGCGTTAGCGACTTCATCCGCAAGCCAGGAACGCCCTGTCCTCGACTCTTTGACACGTGCTTCCGGGGTGATAAACAGGTACAGTGAACCTTAAAGGAGAACCCTAAGAGAAAGATAGTAAAATTATTTTACACATTCCTTCCTATCTCCTCCGGTGTAAAGACTGGTAAAAAAAAAATTACCAAAATTTTCATCATCCAATCTTCGTCCTGGTCGTTACCCACTGCCAGGAGGGGGTCCTTCGTCAGGATTGTGTAAACCCTCCTGTCTTGCGACTAGTATCACCGAGTGGACAGGGTTGAATCTTTACGTAGTACATCGGCGTTGGGAAAATTCAGGCTTTCGAAGATGGCCAGCCTGGGGAGCCTCGAGTTGAGTCGAGGTCGACGCCCGGGCGCAACAAGTGCTGCACTCCGTACGTACACACCGCTAACACTACCTCCTCGTCCTCCGTCCCGCCTTGCTCCTCACCACGGAGGCTCCATCCCTCGCCAGGCCGATCGTTCCCCTCTGTCCCTCTGGCCGCGGTACCTACCCTCAGGAAGGAGAGTAGGTATACCTCGTCTCCGCGAGCAAACTCCTCCCCGTGCAGCTATCCCGCAAGCATTACACACTATGACTCTTTACACGAGAATATCGGTGCGCGTACGCAGCGCGCGCCGCGCCGCCTCAACGCTATACGTAAATATAAAACTGCACTGGGTCAGGGATCCGTAATTTATCGTCTGCCTCGTGTAATTGGCCGCTCGCCAATAGATACCAGGGTACGCGGGGACGTGGTGGCCTACGAGACCGTCGTCTAGCCTCACTCGCTTTTGCACGTATTGCTCCTCCTTCTGTTCCTCTCTTCGTTTGCTCTTTGTGCACCCCCCGTATACGCACTTCCCACTACTGACTGCTTTTCTTTTTTCTCTCCTCTTTCCTTTCTCTCTCCTCTCTTCTTCTTCGCGCCACATACAATGGACTTCTTTCCTGGAGAAAAGAGCAGATTGCAAATTCGGTAGTCTTTTCAAAGTTGCATAAGCTCGCCCTTGGAATTCCTGTACTGGTAACGGTACACTGGAATCGTATTCTTGATCCTCTGAGAAATAACGATTTGTTTTACAACGCAGCTGCCTTGGAGAATATTATGGTATTTTTGAGAACTGGTATACTCGTATCGTGGATCTCTGGATTGTTCCCACGTTTTCTAGGTACGCCTCTCGTTGAATTTGGAGGAGAGTCTATTCGTAGTCGTTTTACTAGTGGACAGTAAATTAAATTTAATGTGTTAACTTTTTTTTAAATGTGGATAATGGAAAGTTGATGTTACCTGTTATACCGTTATGATTAGGTATCAATTTAATGACGTTCGCAATGAAGGAGATTTGGCGTATTTTTATTGTACGGTATTGTTTCAGTGATGAAATTCGTAGAGAACGTATCGGTTAGGACTCAAAGTTGTAGTTGAATCCGATTCAGATCGTTTATCATGAATGAAATCATTGGCTGGGATTCTCCGTGTTAGTTTTGTGCGAAAGATGCGCGGTGTGAGTGTCGGCATCTACCATGAAACTCTCAAAGCTTCTTGAAGCGTCACGGTATAACCTTACTCGGGTGACGTAAAATAACGACGTGTAAATAAAAGGTTAAGAAATTAAATATCTCACCTTGATGCGGTAAAAATCTTCGCTTAGCGTATTCTTCCACTTCCGCTTTGGTATTGTTGTTGCCTCCCTGAAATTATAACGTGTTCAAACAACGAGGACTGGAGAACATTTGAACAAAAAAAACTTGTTGCTCTCGGGCCACAATTCGGAACGCACTTTTTTCCCAGGAAAGCTTATACCCTTCGCGACGGACTCGTATTTATTGAGATTATCGTAAATCGGAGCCGTGGCTGACGGGATTCGAGTTTTAGACGAATACAGCGCTTTTAGTGGATCGAAGTTCTCGCTTCTGGCATTTAAACTCTCGTCGGACGAGCTGTCGGTTCCGTCCGCCATTATGAAACTGAAGGGCTACGTGTCTCCCAATATTGCCAAAAGATGGCAGTCTTGATCACTGACTAAGGGCGCCATCTGTGATTTTTAAATTGAAACTAGTTCCAAAATATTGGTTTGTCATAGTTGTCATTTGAGTTCTTTTTTTTTTTTATATGAGAGCGTAGTTTGTAAAAAGATTTCGACCTGAAAGAATCGTGAGGAACTGGTTGCGTGATTTCCTTAACGAAGCGATACATTTTCGAATAAATAGACGGAGGATGTTAACCTCCCCGCGGTAGAAACTTTCTTTCTCGGGTTGTCGATTACGTAAATTCCCGTAGAAGCTGCATAGAAATGCAGCGGTCAGGAGGAGGGGGTGAGGTTACGCGCGCGCTCACAGGAAGTGAAACAACCTACAGAAAGAAAGTTTTCACTCTGTGTTTTCACTTTCATGGAAATGCCAAGACCTGGTCGCGCTACCGTAACACGCATTAGCGTCTATCGCTTTATCAGTATCGTTCGAGTTTAGCAATCTCGCGATCACTTGTAATTATAACCTACAACGATGACCGTTCACGGTCCGTTTGTAGGTTTATCCAGATTCCGCGTGAAAAGGTATAACAATAAAAAGAAAGAAAGTAACAATACGAAAATAAACTTGAATAAGGAAAGGAGAAAAGGATTTTGCAAAAGACTTTACGTAACGTTCCTGGTTACGATTTTGTAGGAGAAGCAGAGGCTGTAGTAACCAGGGCTGTAGTGAAGAGAGGAGTCAAAGGGCGCGGGCGATCCGGAGGTGGTTTTGGATGTTAGAAGGCGCGGGGGTGGCTAAAGAGGCCCCACCGCAGGGTACGGGTCCCGATGCCGGTCCCCGTATCGCAGACTCTTACACTAACCTCCACCCTCGTACCCAAGGAGGAGTCAAACATGCCCTTCATAGACGACGAGCTACTTTGGTGCCCTGACAACGACGGCAAGATGGTCGACTTAACCCAATGCCTACAGGTTGGTGCGCTCCTATCGTCGCCACGATCAGTCTCAGTTGGTACTTTGTAGAGATCAGTCGGTATCTCCGTTTTCTGTTTTACCAGGAGAGCAGCACCGGCCAGTCCGTTGAGTTCTCGGCTATGGAATTGACAGCCCTTGTTGGAGCACCGGCTGCTCCAAATGTACCTGCGGAAGACAGCGAAGATATGTCTGGTGTCGCCAGCGAGGAACCATTCGATACGCTCGATACCTTCCTCAGAGAAATTCAGGCAGACTTGGCCGAAGCAAGTCAACCTACGTCGACGACTTCCTCCACGACACCTTCCTGCAGGCGACAGAGGTACAACATCGCAGCCGCCAATCCTCTATTAGCAGGTAAATTTATTCCTGTGCAAATTAACTCGGAGCGTACGCTTTGCAAAATGATTGGATCTAAAACTCGTTTTGATTTTATTCTAGAAAAGTTAGCAGCCCCTTCGTCACAAGCATCCCCTACGTGTATACCCTACGCTACGAGAGCGGAGATCAAGACGGAGAACATTCAACCTGAGACCAGTAAAGGTAGGATTTTTATACTTTTACTACTATCACTGTCAACCTATTCAACGAGCAAGATTTTGTTTATGTCGCCGTTTATAGTACTACCAACGTTGACTCGAGAATAGGTATATTATTGGATCTGGTGTTATCTAAGCTTGTGTATCGTGGCCCCTCATATACCGAGTTAATCGATAAAAATTCTAACGTTTTTAATGCCCCGAAAAACAGTGACCACTATTAACCAATAAAATAATCAACGGTGAAATCGCGCGTGCAAAATATCATTTATTATTTTTTAATGAACGATTACAAACAAGTTTGTAAAAACAATTTATTCGTGCTAACAAAGCTCTAGCTTTTTCAACTCTCAACCGGTACCATTCTTATCAGTCTGACAGACTCCTGGAGCACTGAACACACAGAAATGTCTAGTATATCTATCTTCAGTCAACACTGTCAATAAGAATACTGATCATGTGTTGCATACACGATCCCTACATTACCCAACAAGAGTACTATTTCTGTCGGTAAAACAGTACCATGCCGCCGGCATAACAGAAACACGCATGTCCTGCTTAATTGTGGTAAGTTACCTTACCGACTTCCACGCGAACATTGCGGCCAGTAGATAATATAGTTTTCTACACTATCTACAACGATATATAAAACTCTTGGCGCGCGACAAAGCGAAATCGACGGTCTACGACTTCGAAAGGGAAACCGGCCAAGGCCCCACGAATTACGAACAGACATCCGCGTTAGCAATAATTGCGTACGCGCTCGTGTACTTGAAAAATATATACGAGCGCACACACATGCGCTGCCCGTGAGCCGCGGAGTGGCATGGGCTTATGTGCGTGGCCCAATTCTTACAATTTACAGCCGTGTCGTAACGTAATGTGTGGACGCGATTTGCCCCGGTGTGCATATCTCTTACTTCACACGAGCCAAAGGAAGACCGTGAATCGTAATACGCGCTCATGCATCACAATCCGTTTTCACGATTTTTATGTTTTTCCCATCTTTTATTCTTTTTTTTCTTCTTCTCTGCACTGTACCGCGGTGTCTCCCAACATATCGCGTTTGTTTTTCCGTCAGGACACGCGCGTCTCGACCGTCCTCAGTACCACTCTGTATATTGCGCATGCCATTGCCATTATGTATTTACGTGCAGTATAGACGCACAACGCCATCGGTGGTAACGACCTTTTCTAGGTCAGTCGCGAATAGACGTTCTATCCAACGTCGTCGTGGGTACCTTTTTCCATTTCGACCTCCTTACAATCGTTTGGTTTTTCTACGTCTGCTTTTTTCCCCTTTACTCCCTTATATTACACCGATAGAGCAGGAATACGCCTGTCTACCTTCCTTATGGTACGAACAGCGGTAATTTCCTCTTTGCCTCTTGCGAACGAAGAATGGTATATACATCCCCATTATATCTTTTCTGAAACACACATATATATATATATATATATATATATATATATATATATATATATAACCAGTGTTGGGTACATTATCAAACGACAGAACCTACACGCGCAGAAACCTTCCAGCGAGAACCTTCGAGAACCTTCGAGAACCTCGTTCCAACTGTCTGAACACTAATCTGCTCGCCATTCCCGAGACTTCTCCTTTGATCAAAAGCTTCTTCAGACTCCGGAGTCCTTTGACTCGTGCTTCATTCAGTTTCCAAGTATCGGTTAGTTTTTCGTGTCTCGTTGAAGCACTTTTTCGATCTCGGCAATGAATAGGACAGAAATCGTTCCCAGGGTGATATCCATTGATTCTCGAGTCACGCTCTAGGATCGCCGTCGAGGCGGCGGGTGAGTCTCGTAAATAACCTCTGAATTCTCTGTGATCTTTCACCCTGACCAACATCGCCCTTTTCTCTTTTTATTACAGGGTTTCGTTTTCCTCTCGCTTATGATCGCCACCAAGCGGTGATACGCGATACTACAAAGTGGTAACCCTCCACCCATGTAAAGACCCCCTTCATCTTACCCCCTACTGCATACAGCTGTCTGTCCCTCGAAACACTTGTCGCTACCCTTGTTCTCCTGACCCTCCCCAAAACACATAAATTCAAGCCGGCACTCAGAAATAGACGAGTCATTCGTCTCTCCCTCCTTCTTACCTACGTTCTACGCTGTCGCCATCTAGCAGCGACACCACGAAAACTCTCTTACGTGATCCCCTCGCTCGGCGCTCGGCGCGGGTTTCCTCGTCCAGGAATACCGTAACAGGTGTACGTAGCGTGCCTCTCTGTTGCGAAATTTGAGCATTTCTCGGAGTTTCCTAGTTGAACTTCCCCTTCTCTTTTTTTTCCCCCCCAATCGTCGTCTAACTGCTTCTTACCATCCTTTGTTTTTTTTTCCTTTTTTTTTTTAAATCTAGAAACTCCCTGAAACTCGAGCACCGATTCTCCATGGGAGTCCCGAGCAGTCGCAGCCGCTAGTAATAACCACATAAATCTCACGTTAAAGAAACACCAAAGGGACCGTGTTGGTAGCGTCTGTCTCTTAGTGAGATTTCAAGAAACTGGATTCCAAGGTCCATCAGTGACCTACCCCCCCCCCCCCCCCC